TGCAGCTTCTGCTGCAGTGGGTTGCCATGGGCTACCATGTGTAGCCAGCAGCCGCAGTGAGCGGCCATCCAGAAGCCAGCGACTGATCTGCCTCGCCTGGGAAGAGCGCAATGATGGTGCCAACTTGGGCCAGGGAAGCAACATCCTCCACAACTAGACTGAAGAACAAAAGGACAGCAACTTGTCTGTTCCTCTTCCCCCAATTCCCCAGCGCTGTTCCCATTCTCCAATTCCCCAATAAAAATCTTTAAAAAAATAATAACTTCTTTGATACCACTTTCCCCGTCTATCAACCACCCCATTTCTTAGCTCCCTTTTGTAGTAAAGTGTTGAATCTTCTTACTGTCTCCAATTTTTCTCCTCTTATCTTCTCTTAAACCCACTCTAATTAGAACCACCCTTCCCATCTACTCCACTGAAATTGCTCTCTTCAGAGTCACCTGTGTTCCCATCATTGCTAAATGTAATAGTTTTTTTTTAATTTTGAAATCATTTTAATTTAGAAATAGAAAACATCTTGGAAGGGGCAAAAAATGAGAGAAAAACACGAAATACGTAGGCAAACTTTTACTCCATGAGCTTCACAAATCCTCACGTGTTCAGCAATCCTCAAAATGAAAAACCCTCCTCTAAAAAGGTATTTCAGCCACCAACAATGATGTTATTAATTGGGATATGGATCATTTTCACAAAAAAGCCAATAAATCGCATTATAGCAAATTCTATTGCTGTTGCCATGGCAATCTTCTGGAATTCTTTTCTGTCAGGTTTGGTGCATCTCTTCACCAGCTGAATTGAGTCCTTCACAAACTGCCAACTTGGCTCAACAAACTGCATTACCTGATCCATGATGCTGGCCACCGACACCTCGGGTACCAGGGACACGTAGCACAGCAGCGCACCGACCGCTAAATGTAATAGTTTTGAGTCCTCTTGTTATTTGATCTATCAATAGTTTTTGACAAGTTGATCACCACCTCCTTCTTGGACACTTTCTTCATTTGTCTTCCATAATCTTTTACATTTTCCCTTACTTCACTAGTCACCCTTCTGCTTTCTTTGTTGTCCCTCCTCATCTCCCTTAACTCTTAAGGTTGGAGTGCCCCCCAGGCTCAGTCCATGGTTCTTCTATCTACGCCCACTCCCTTGGTGATCTCAACCAGTGTTGAGGCTTTAAAACCATTTATCTATTGTACTTAGGACTGCCATCTACAAGGTCTGACAATTAAGTTCACGAACTTATTGCAATGGTGTTGCTAATCTTTTTTTGATATCAGAGGGATTATTTATGATGAATTTGTACCAATTGGACAAACAGTTAACCAAGTTTACCATTTGGAAGTGCTGAAAAGGCTGCGTGAAAAAGACAATCTGAACTTCTCACCAACAATTCATGGCTCTTGCATCATGGCAATGCACCAATTCACACGGCACTGTCTGTGAGGGAGTTTTTAGCCAGTAAACAAATAACTGTATTGGACCACCCTCCCTACTCACCTGACCTGGCCCCAATGACTTCTTTCTTTACCCAAAGATAGAGGAAATATTGAAAGGAAGACATTTTCATGACAGGACATCAAGGGTAATACGATGACAGCTCTGATGGCCATTCCAGAAAAAGAGTTCCAAAATTGCTTTGAGGAGTGGACTAGGAACTGGCGTCAGTGTATAGCTTCCCAAGGGGAGTACTTTGAGGGTGACCATAGTGATATTCAGCAATGAGGTATGCTGCACTTTTTCTAGGATGAGTTTGTGAACATAATTGTCCGACCTTGTATGTTTAACACAGACCTCTCTCTGTTTTGAACTCCAGACTCATGTCCAAAATTGAACTCGCGATCATACCTCCTAAACCTACTCTTACATTTTCTTTGTCCAGTTACTTGAACCAAAAACTATAGAGTCATCCTTGACTTCTCTAGTTCTTCACCGCCCGCGTTCAATCCACCAGCAAATCCTGTTGATTCTATTCAGGCTATAGTAGAATTTTGCACTTTTCCCAATCTCCACTGCTGCCACCCTGGGTTTGAGTCATCATCATATCTTGTCTGAATTACTGTAGTTGTCCCCTAACTAAAAGCTTTCACTATTGCTTCCCACAGGATTTCCTCATAACTGCATCCAGATTGATCTTTTAAATCAAATCTGGTTTTGTCTCTCCTCTGTTCAAAAGTCAGAATAAAGGTCAAACTCTGTGTACTGTGTGAATTCTCTCTTCCTCTCCCCTTCGCCCTCCCACTCCCACTCCCCCTCTGCTCTGTTATCCTGTGATATTGTTTCCTTGTTCATCCTGCTTTAGCCACGCTGTCTCCTTGCTGGTCTTTGAACACACCAGGCAGAGTCCCACATTGGAGCCTTTGCACTCGCTGTTCCTTTGCCTGGTATACTCTTCCCACTTAGCTAAGGTCTACCCTGACTCCAAGTTTAAAACTGCAGTGGTTTACTCGTATGCGCTGAGATTCAGGCTGTCATGTGACTGAAACTGGCAATAACGTATGGCTTGGCAGGGACCAGGTTTCATTCAGATGTCTCTTTCCCTGGATCTGCAAAGGAACATATAGCAGCTCTGGCCTCTCTGGTCCCATTTTGCAACCACATGAAGATCAATATTAGAATGAAGTTATCCCCGAGCATGATCTAGTGAGAGAAAAAACCAGATTCATGATAACATCATTAAGCAGCTCATTCATTCTTTGCCTGGAGAATGTCCAGCCTGTGGACTTATATGACATAAATTATCTTATTAAGCCAGTTTTTAAGCCAGGAATCTTGTTATTTGCAGCCAACCACATCCTAACCGATACAGTGAACAGACATTCGGTAATACTCCCTGATTTGCTGGGGGCCTATAAAACCTATGGGAAGGAAATTAAACTTTTGAAAACTGGAGTTCAAATGTATATGTGTCTGGAATGTGAGCTAGGCATGGAAGCTGGATTGCAGAGAGACGCAACTGAGCCTCTGAGAGAAATGAGTGTTAGTAGAGAATGAGTCTAGTGGCATGGTCAGAAGCAGTGTGAAGTTCTAGCCCAGGGGTCGGCAAACTGCAGCTCACGAGCCCCATGCGGCTCTTTGGGTACGTTCCGTCTCAAAAGTTTGCCGACCTCTGGAAGAGCCAATCCTGTCCCTCACAACAATTTAAAAAGTATTTGAGAGCCATAAATATATTTTTACATAATCACCATTATGTGACTAATATCCTTTAAAAATGTTATACATGAAACTATCATAGTTTTATTTTCATTTTCAATTTTACTTCCAAGCCACATGTACATACCCAAAGAGCCACATGTGGCTCGCGAGCTGGTTTGCTGATCCCTGGCAGCTCTTCCATCTCAAAAGTTTGCCGACCCCTGTTGTAGATGATGCTGAGACTGTACTAGAATCCACACAGACCCAAACCCTGCACTGCACCCTACTCACCCACTCCCAGCATACATGCTTTCTGGCGAAGTGAGGGCTGTGGTTAAACCTCAAAACTGTTTCACTTTGTGACCTAGCCTTTTGCCATGGAACCCTCTCCAACTGCAACACCTTCCCCCCTGCGCCCAAATTTTGAATACTAGAAGGAAAAAATGTTTCTATCCCAGCTGGAGGGAAGTGAATAATGAACTGCAAAGGTTAACAAATGGAGATGCTGAGGAAACCCTGAAGGCTGTGGTGACAATGGCACAGGTGTACACTATAATTAGTGGCCAAGCCCCAGCTAAGCACAGACATCAAAGTCTTGGAAATCTGAAAACAGGTGAGAGAGAAAACAGGTGAGGCAGATAACAGCTCTGAATATACATGAGACAACTATCTTGGTGGCAGCTATTTACACAGCATCCCTAAGGATGAATGTTCAAAGGACACCCAGGTTTGTGGGATGTAGATTTTTTGGTTTTGAAAATAATTTTCCAAACAAAGATCACTAACCTATCCCATCAGTTAGCCTTGTCCTACCCCTGAGCCTTACCATAGAGGGTCATAGGTGCCCTGGGGTTCAGGGATAGGGTAAAGATAGTAATGGGGTGAGAACATTTGTAGTGCACATTACTTGGTCATTTCAAAAAGTGAAAATTGGATGTTTTCCTAGGTATTCATCAAAATGACCTCATGAAAATAATATACAATAATTATTCCTCCAGTTCTCTCTCAAAGACTATTAGGCTTCTATTGTCTTGTAGCTCAACTGCTACCCATTTAAGATAACAAAACATTTTTCTAAAAATCTATTATTTTACATGATATATATTAAAATTTTAACAATTATCTTTTTAGGGTTGATAGAAAGGATTATTGGTGGTTTTATTTTCTTACTTTGTGTTTTCCAACCTTTCTAAAGTTGACATGTATTGTCTCTGATTAGAAAGGCCTCAACTATAGAAAATAACTTGTTCCAACACTTTCATGGTTATCCCATTTGACTATTTTCTTTTTAAATAATTTTCATGGCCCTTTTCACCTTAGGTGTGTTGCTATAATAACTTTTGCATAGATATCACTGACTTTTAAAAGTCTGATATTTAAAGTTGAATCATTTTTAGCCAAGAGCTTTCATGCTAATTTCAATATTAGCTAAAGTTCTAGTTTTGAAACAAACATTTATGATCCCTACAAGAAGCCAAACATGTGAAAAACTGAGAACATGGCAAAATTTCTTCTCTTGCAGTAAAATATTTACTCAGATTGTTTGCAATTTGAGACTGGAAAAGGGCTTAGAAATCTTAGTCTAATTCCTGCGTTTTTACAGATGACAAATCTGTTACTGACTGTAACACAGGAGCTGGACTCCTGGCAGGCTCTTGGATTTGGTGCGGCTGAAAACAGACAACGGAACCACAGGTAAGGGGTTCATACCACAGGTATATTCTCCAATCGGCCGGTTGAGACACAGGAATAGCATCAGCGCTCGCCGGAGCGCTGACAGTGACATAGCATGCAGAACAAAGGTGGCTTTCAGCCAGCCAGTTACATAAGAGGGGGCATCCAGGTTGCCTGAGTGGGCACGGGAACAAGCAGAGCCAGTAGTTTCCCACAGGAACCCGTTCCCATGGGAGGCCGAGAGCCTGGCTCTACTGCTCTCCTGAGACTTTCCCTACACTGACCATAAGAAGATTGTGTGATGTAAATAATAGAAATGTATATTCTCACTGTTTTGGAGGTGACAAGTTCAAGATCAAGGTGTCATCAGGGTTCATTTCAGGTTAGAGGGCTTCTCCTGGCTTGTAGATGGCTTTTCCTAAGTAGGTGCACACACACTGAGGGACAGAGAGGTGGAGGGGTAAGGGGAGAGAATGTACTATTGAGGTTTTTTTCTTATAAGGACACTAATCCTATCTGATCAGGGCCCCACTCTTATGATGTCATTAAAAAANCTCCTCATTTTTAGACTGTGTAGTTCCTTCTCACTACAATTCTTTTCAATACTAATCCTGTCTTAATTCTTTGTGATTTAAAATATATGTAGAATAGATGATGATCTTTGCAATATCCTGAACTCTCGGTTCCTTGACTCCTCCAATCCAATGATCTTATCCTCCACCCTATTTCAAACACTCACTCCCATGGTCATCCCCTAGAACTTGTCATCATCAGTAACTGCACCCCATCCATAATTTCTGTTTTATGAACCCACTCTCTGACCATACCTCCTGTCTTTGCAGTGCGTTCCCTCTAGTACTCTGACCTCAACGATCATACCCCTTCTCCAGGATACCAGATCCAAAATCTTGCCACCTCGTCTCTGGTCCCTCCCTCTTGATGCCTTCACTTGACTCCTTATCCATAAAGTCCACACTCAATTATTATAATCCCTCCCTTGCACCTGCTCTTCATTCTCTTGCTCATATCTCACTTCGTTGAACTCTCTTGGCAAATCTACCATCCTGATTAAATCCAAATTTCCAATTTTGGGCTCTGCACCCATACACCTGAGTGTAGCTGGAGTGAAAAATCCAAACCCTGTTAATTTGACTGAATTTAAAGTCAAAACCATGACTGTCAAGTGGGTTCTTTGTGCTGCATGCCTTTAGTCCATTTACTCTTTTGGTCTCCTTGACAACTGTTTTATGCCTTCTCTTTTCTCCTCAATCCCCATCACCTTCTCCACAGTCTTCATGCTCTGCTGATGACCTTTAGAGTATTTATTGAGAATACTGATGCTTCAGGAAAAAACTTCCACAGAATCTCAGTACCATGTTGACCCACCTACCGGCATCTGTACCAACATAACACTCTGCCCCCTTTTCCATAGCTGAATTACCTAGGCTCCCATCTAAGCCTAATCCCTTTACTTGTGCACTGGATCCTATTTCCTGCCCCCTACTCAAAGACATCAAGGGCAGCTGTTCTCGCTCGCTGTCTGCCCTATCATCAATTTCTCATTCTTTACCGATCAATTCCATAACCATACAAATACAATGTTATTTCTTCTCACCTTAAAAATAACTTCTTTGGGCTGGCCGAGTGGCGCATTGGTTAAGAGCTGGCTTGGGACGCCAGAGGGCCCCGGTTC